AAAAAAAAAAAGTCAAGAAGGGAGAGGGTTGACATGTCGTGGGGTTGTTAACCAATGTCATAAAACAAAACATGTACTGACTGTTTAATGAGAAACTATCTGTTCTGTAAACCTACACCTAAAGTACAATTAAAAAAAAAAAAAGGAAAAGGTCTCTGGGTGGCACAGGTAGTTTGTGCTCAACTACTAATCTAAAGATTTGTGGCTGAAACCCATCCAGTGGTATTGTGGAAGAAAGGCCTGGCAAATTGCTTCCATAAAGATTACAGCCAAACTATGGAACAGTTTTACTCTGTTACATATGGGGTTGCCATGAGTTGGAATTGACTCAACAGCAACAGGTTTGGTTTTTGGTTTGGTTTGTGGTAAGGAATAATGAGATTATATATATAGGACTCTATTACATCATCTAGGAGCCCTGGTTAAGTGTTCGGCTGCTAACCAAAAGATTAGCAGTTCAAATCCACCAGCCACTCCTTGGAAACCCTATGGGTCAGTTCTAGTCTGTCCTACAGGGTCACTATGGCAATGGATTTTTTTTTGTTTTCAATTACAGCATCAAGCTTAAGAAGCCCACAATAAATGGGTCGACTGCCCTTCCCACCACACCTAGTAAGACTTATTAAAAAATATAACTAATAATTCAGAAACACATAGTAGGAACATTGGAATAGCCCTACCTTTTAGCTTACTAACCAAGGAGCCTCAAAATCAACTTTTCTACATACTTACAAACCTCAAGGATAGAAATAATTCGGGAGAATATTTCATATACTGAAATTTAAACTTATAATAAGCAGCAACAAGGGTATGCAAGCTAGATTTAAAGTACAGCCAAACTTAAATTCTCTGAAAAAAATTCCATATTCACACCAATAGACCAACTGCTCAAAAAAGTGTACTGAAACTTTGTTCATGCAGGTTATAGCTTATTCTAGCCTGAAGTCTGGTTAATACAAGGCAAAGTAGTTTTAGCACAGAAAATGAAGGTCAACTTAATGAGCATGTTAAAATCAACTCCTTTAAGAAAAACAGCTTCCTATGTTGATACTCTGTAAATACTTTTGCACTTACCTGTTAAACTGTAAAGTCCTTTGGTGGCCAGAGTATATTTTACAGTTATACAAGTATTCCCAGCCCCTAGCATGCTGAAAAGAGCCTTCACCAGATGCAAAGGTTAAGTGCTCGGCTGCTAACTGAAAGTTCAAACCCCCCAGCTACTCCAGGGGAGAAAAGACGTGGCAATATGTTCCTGTAAAGATTACAGCCTAGGAAACCCTGTGGGGCAGTTCTACTATGTCCTATACATGGCTTCAAAGTGGTTCTTCCTGGTTCATTCGTGGCCCAGGAAGTGACATCTGAACAGACCCGAATTTTTAAAATTTCGGTAAACCAAAACCATCACCAGAATGGGAAAAATTACAGGTTGAAGCCCTGCTAGAAATTTAATCTCCCTCTTAGAAAACAAGGGCAGCATAAGCATTGCATAGCAACCAAATCTCTTGCCCATCGGGTTTTGCACAGTCGGAAACAATGGTGCCTCATTCAAAGATGGCCACCAACCACACAGCTTTGAATGTGTGTCTTGCTCTCCACCATCCTGGCAATAATTCAATCTCATGCATCAGGCTCCTGAAAGGGCTCACTATGCCTCTTTTGAGTCTCCCATTCCAAGGCTTCAATCTGTAATATTTCCCATTCTGGTTGTGGTTCCAGATCACCCTAATTTAAAAAATTTGGGTCTGTTACGGTTTTGCTTCATTGGCCATGACTGAACCGGTTTGAAGCCCTGGTCCTATAGGGTCACTATGAGTTAGAATTGACTCAACAGCAAACAACAGCAGCAGCACATTAAAACTGGCACTATGCATAGCCTCCAATGTTTCTTAAAAGAACAAATGAATGAGTGGTTTTGTCTGAAAAAAATTACCCAAAAGATCAATTAAAGCTTGATTATTTACTTTAATAAAGGAAAATAACTTCAGATTCCTTAATATTTGCCTACTACATTTGAAATCATCTATAAAAATTTCTAGAACATTCACTACCTCGTTAGTTAATATACACCAATGGACAAAAGATGTTTCGCTCCTCTCACTGAACTATTTTTCAAGTTTGATTGTAGGTAGTTTTGTTTTCAGCAAACTTCAGTAGGAAATAAAAACCACTGAGTCTGATTTAGAAATGACTTGTGCAGCACAACCACATACTAACTTCCAGACAATGGCAACTACGGTCACTTAAGGTAAGGAGCATGTTATCTCTGCACCGCCTAGACTTTTTGCCCATCTATTTGAAAAACCGTAAAAACACACATCAAAATTTGCCTTTTCCATGTTCTGCGTCCTACTTTGGTGGGTGGCATCTAGGTTCTTAAAACCTTGCAAGCGGCCATCTAAGATGCATCAATTGGTCCCAACCACGTAGAGTAAAGGAGAATGAAGAATACCAAAGATCCAAGGAAAAGTATTAGCCCAAGACACAGAAAGCGCCACATAAACCAGAGACTTCATCAGCCTGAGACCAGAAGAACTAGATGGTGCCTGGCTATCACCAATGACCGCCCTGACAGGGAACACAACGGAGTGTCCCAGATGGAGCAGGAGAAAGGTGGGGTGCAGAACTCAAATTCTAGTAAGAAGACCAGACTTAATGGTCTGAGAGAGACTGGAGGAACCCCAGAAAGCATGGCCCCTGGATTCTCTATCAGCCCAGAACTAAAACAATTTCTGAGGCCAACTCTTCAGACAGGGATTGGACTGGACTGTGGGACATAAAGTGATACTCGTGAGGTGTGTGCCTCTTAGCTCAAGTAGATACAAGAGACTAAACGGGCAGCTTCTGTCCGGAGGTGAGATGGGAAGGCAGAGAGTGTTAGGAGTTGGTTGAATAGACATGGAGAATCAAGGGTGGCAAGGAGGAGTGTGCTGTCACAGTATGGGGAGAGCAATTAAGAGTCACATAACAATGTATATATTAATTTTTGTATGGGAAAAAGTAAAAATTTGCATTTTCTGTGAATTACTTCTTTAGCTGGGATCCCTTAAAACTTTTAGTGTCTCTCATCTTTCTAATGGAGTCTATTTTCATGTTTAAAGGCAGCAAGCATAATGGTTAACTGCAGTGACATAGAAATGGATTGCCTGGGTTACGATACAGACTGTGCCACCTACTAGCTGGATGAGCTTGAGTGAGTTACTTAACTTTCTGGGACTCATTTTCCTAAACTGTAAAGTAGGATAAAATAGTACCTACCTCACAGAAGTAAATAAGTTAATAAAGATAAAGCACTTAGAGCAAGAAACAGTCCCTGGCACAAAATTACCTTATAACAGTTATCACTGCTATAAGTTCATACAATTTAGCCATAAAACAAAGATATGAAATTTGCTGAAGTCTGGCTCAGAATTATGTGTTTATCTTTACTTGTGCATTTAAAAATTATAGGTAAGCAGAAATGTATCCATAATTTCTAATTATAGTTCTAAATTTACTAATATGGTTGAATGTCATCGATCAAACTTTTTAAAACTAGCTCACTGATGAGAAAACTAAGCTGAATCCTTTCAAAATTAAAAACGCTTCCTAACATTTCTCCCTCAAATTTCAAGACAGAGCTCTCATTATCATTCAGAATTGATGAAAGAATGTTTATATCTGCATACCTGGGGAGATAAAAAGAATTAGAGTGAGGTCTCACCCAAGGTTATGGGTCCAGTAAGTCGCATATTAAACTCCAAAACAATGCCAAAACACAAGGCAACTGACATGTAATTTCTATAAATAACTTTTTTTTTTTTTTTTTTTTTTTTTGGAAAACCACCAAAATAACTTAACAACAAAAAAATTCCTCGGGCAATTGACAAAAATAAACTTTTGCATTTGAAGAAATGTAGAAAGGTAAATTGAAACTGACTCCCTAGGAAAGATGACAGTTTATTTTACTATTAATCTCAAAAAGTTTTCATTCACAATTAGCATTTTACTATTTTATGTTTTAAACCGACTGCAACCTGAAACTCAAGCACTTTTCCAAACAATTAAATGAACTGTTTCCGGTTTCCATTCCAAACCTTTCGGTTTTCTGTTAAACTTCTGGTTTATTGGTCCAAAGAAAGAAAAAAAACAAGCAAACAAACAAAAAAAAGTCTTTTGTTTGAATGAGCACAATAATGAGGTACTCCCTATCTAAAGGTTATTTTTACTTACTGAGGTATCTTATACTATTATAATAAATGTCCCAAACTTAACAGCACGCTGATTCCCTTTCAAGTATTAGGTGTAAAAGACCTTAGACAAAGTCAACAGTCCACCAAATTACAAATCTAAGTTTATTGAAAAATACCAATCACTTTACTACTGGATGCAGTTTATACAAGAACGTAACTTCTATTACTAAACTAAAATATAAACCACCATTAACTCCGTTTTGTCGTGGTAAGCAGAAAATATCAAAGCTAAAAGCAAATATTTCAACAAATATGACCAGCCAACCTCGAAGCACAAAGTTGGCTGATAAAATTGACATTACAGCACAACACCAGAACTATAAGCAACTACAAAAAAACAAAACAAAACTGCACCCATTCTTATGTAAACTTTTGGAATAAGCAATCTTAATCTCACCTTTGTTTTCACCTAGCAAGGAGTCTTCAAGATAAGGCACCAACTTTAAGACCAAAAGAGCAAGAGTTTCAGTTAATGCCCTCGTAGGACAAACAACTAAACATTTAATACATGCTAACGTACTTAAGTTATCGAAGCGCAAGGCACTTCCCCCAGCTACAGCCATTTTAGGTTCAGTCCTTTTGAATTTCTCGGTGGTGGGGAAAGGCAGATTTAAAACAGAAAAAAAATACCCTTAAAACACTTCAAGGTCGACCAGCTTCTTTTTCGGGGGAGGGGAGGCTGGTCAGTGTTGGACGGACTAAACTGAAATCAACAAAAATACCTCGTTACCAACGAGAACCGGAACGCTGTGGGTTACAGATCCTCTTTCAGATACCCCACATTTAACTTACACGACTTTTTCCTATTTAGACTTTACTTCATAGAAAAATAAAAGCCCTTGACTCTCACTTAAAAAGCAGGAGAAACTCGTAAACCAGAGCCGCTCAACCCCTAACAAACCGGACCGCCTGGAGAGGGGCCAGAGAGCCGCAGGTGAGTGTTCCGACCCGCAGACCAAAGTTGAAGTAGAAGCGCCCTCGCAGAGCCTCTGCGAAGCTCGTGTGCACAGCTCCACGCGCGGGGGGTAGGTGCCCCGTCCGAACGCACGACTCGTGGGCTCTGCTCGCCCCTCCCCGGGCCGAGCCTACACACAACCACCTGTGAGACCCCACTTAACTTGCTTTAACAACCGATTGGGTAGGCAACGGGCGGAGGCCCCCGTGGGGAACACTCAAATATACTCTACTCCCCCGCTGTCCGAAGCTTCCACTCACCTGGCAGCGGCGGGGCTACACCTGGGGACAAGGCGCAGCGTCCGAGGGCGCGTCCCCAGCTTCCTAATCCGGCAGAGGTGGCTAACCCACAACCATAACAAAGCTCTTCCCAAAATGGCTGCCCGGCCCACACGGCACAGGCGGGGCAGAGCGGATAGAGGGGAAGGAGCGACAACCAGCCCTCCCCCAGCCGACCCCGCCTTACACACGCCCACCAGCTCGCACCGCCCACAGGAGCTCACGCGCATGCGCACTGGCCTGCTTCCGTGACCCACGGTGAGGGTCGGCAGCCCCTACACGGCCAACGTTCGGCCGCTAGAAAGGCGGTTATTCCCTGCCCGGCCCCCAACTCCCCTCACGGGAACACTAGACGGCGCGTGGCCGCCCCAGCGCCTCTGCAGAGTTAAATACTCTGCCGTTCCTCGCGCCAACTGAGAGGCGGAGATCAACCGAGTTTGGTACTCCCCTTCCAACCTTCCCTGCCGAACGCTAGAGCCTGGGCGCGTGTGAATGAGTGGGTGGGTGTATATATGTGTATCCTTTTTTTCCTGCTCCTTTTTTTTCACCCTCCCACATCCCGCCTCTGAGCAAGCACGCGTCCCCAAACTACCTCAACAAGTACTAGCAAACCGGTTTCGAAAAAATGTGCTTTCCGACCCCTTCCCACCTTCCGTTTCCTCCTTCACGTGCGCGCGTCGTTGAGACTCCAGCCCCCAGCGGGCCACACGGCCCTGCTCAGGAGACCTGCGCAGCACTGCACGGCGCGCTACCTGCTGGGAATGGTAGTTTGGCGAGATGGTAGGCGTCACGCCCCCGACCCAGCGAAGAAGGGATTTCTGGCCAGAGCCTGCGCCAATGCCGGGGCGTAAAAGCTGTTTCTCCAACGCAAAGTCTCATTGGGCCTAACTCGACGGGAAGGGGCGGTGCTACCATGACAGGGCGAGAAGGAAATTAAAGTGAAAGCCTGGCGCGACTGGAAGCGGTGACTGTTACGAAGAGTCCATCCTGCACGGCAAACTTAAGCCAAGTGATGGCCAGCATCCAGGAAGCTGGGGTACCTAGAATACGGAGGAATGAGAAACTGGCCGGCGTGGGCCCCTGAGATCTCCTATTACTTGTCATCAACTTTATCTTAAATACAGGAATTCCCTGGTGCCGTTCCGTTTTATAGACTGAAATAGAGGCCCAGAGAAGGGAAGGGACTTGCCCAAAGTCACATAGGCGAGAAGTAAATAAAAATTCAAGCCAAGGGTCGTGAGAGGAATGATCTAATTTACTGGATTACCACTAAGTCCGATACTTTTTTCACCACACCTTTCATGGAGAAGTGAAAATCCTGTCACTTGTGCACTTTATTTCTTAATGAAGTTTCTTGGTCCCAGCAAAGACAATGGAAATAGAAACAAGTCCCCCCCCCCCCCTTAAATAATGTTCGTAATTAAGGACGCTAATGCGGAGTGAGACAAACTCCTTTGAACCTAGAGACCGTGTTGTTTTGCAAAGTAAAAAATTGAGTTACAGAGATGGCAAACAATTTGACTAAGTCACACTCGTTCTGGACTCCAAGACTCCTCCCTTCCTCTACCACCATCACTCTTGAGATTGCTTTAGCAGCAGCACTCTACCTTCCCTAATAATGCGGGGCACATTCCACTGGATGGGAACATTGGAATAGAGAGGCAAGGACCATTCACATACCCTGCAAGCCTCCACGGCCATCTTCCACTGGAATTAATATTTTAAAAGAATGACCCCACCCCACCCCCCAAAGAACTAGAAGATGCCAGGCTACCACCAACAACCCCTCTGACAGGGATCATAATAGAGAGTTCTGGACAGAGCGGGAGAAAAATGTAGAACAAAATTCAAATTCACACACAAAAAATGACTAGACTTACTGGTCTGACAGAGACTGGAGGACCACCCCCCTCCCAGACTATGGCCCTCAGATACCCTGCTAACTCAGAACTGAAGCCACTCCTGAAGTCCATCTTTCAGCCAAAGATTAGACAGGCCTATAAGACAATAACACATGTGAGGAACATGCTTCTTAGTTCAATCAAATATAGAGACCAAATGGGCAGCTTCTGCCGAAAAACAAGGTAGGAAGCGACAGGAAAACTGATGGAATGGGATGGGAAACCTAGGGTGGAAAGGGCGAGAGTGCTCTCACATTGCAGGGATTGCAACCAATGTCACAAAGCAATTTGTGTATAAATTTTTGAATGAGAAACGAATTTGTGCAGTAAACTTTTACCTAAAGCACAATAATTTTTTTTTTTAAAAAGACCCCAAGACTAATGAGGCACAGCAGTCCAGGGACAAGGACTAGTAGGCAGGAGGGGACAAGAAAGCTGGTTATGGGGAACCCAAAGTTGAGAAGGGGCAGAGTTGACATGTCATGGGGTAGTTAACCATTGCCATAGGGCAATATGTGTACTGTCTAATGAAAAACTATTTGCTCTGCAAACCTTCATCTAAGGTACAAAAAACAAAGAATTATCTATGTGAGATCAAATTGACAACAGCAACTCAAAAGGTTTGATGGGAAGCCTAAGGGGGCAGTGACTTGGAGATAATGGTGATGGAATAATTTGGAAAAGGATAGTGAGAATAGCAGCACAACTGGAAGAATGTAATTGATGTCACTGAATTGTACATGTAGAAACTTTTGAAATCGTGTAACTTTGGCTATGTATATTTTCACCAAAAAAAAGG